AGCCCAGTATTTGGAGGCTGTAAGGAGCTATGATGGCACCACTGCTCTCCAGCCTGAGCCACAAAGTGAGACTCTGTCTCTAAAAAAAAAAAAAAAAAAAGTTTCTGTCAATCAGTTAAGCTCCTAGCCCCAACAGGAAAGGCAGGAAAATGAGAACTAAGGTCTGGTTTACATCACGATGTCCACTTGACCCCACGGCAGTCCCCTTTAGGTTTTCCCTGTTTAGCACAGAAGGAACCTGAGGCTCACAGACATGTAGGGGCTGGCCCAGGCTCAGAGCTTGTCTGGGGCCAACACATCCCTGGCCCAGACCCTACAGAATATCTGCCCGATCCTGCCAGGCACGGTGGCTCAAGCCTGTAATCCCAGCACTTTGGGAGGCCGAGGCGGGTGGATCACCAGGTCAGGAGATCGAGACCATCCTGGCCAACATGGTGAAACCCCGTCTGTACTAAAAATACAACAATTAACTGGGAATGGTGGTGTGCACCTGTAATCCCAGCTACTCAGGAGGCTGAGGCAGGAGAATCACTTGAACCTGGGAAGTGGAAGTTGCAGTGAGCCAAGATCGTGCCACTGCACTCCAGCCTGGCCACATAGTGAGACTCCGTCTCAAAAAAAAAAAAAAAAAAAAAAAGAGAATATCTGCCTGGTCCAGCACTCTGACCAAATGACCAAAGCACACATCTGGTCCCAGATGAGCTGCATACGGGTTCACGTCTTCCTTGGCCCCCAATCCCACCCTGCTAAAGAAGACCTTGGTATAGGCCGGGCGCGGTGGCTCAAGCCTGTAATCCCAGCACTTTGGGAGGCCGAGACAGGCGGATCATGAGGTCAGGAGATCGAGACCATCCTGGCTAACACGGTGAAACCCCGTCTCTACTAAACATACAAAAAACTAGCCGGGCGAAGTGGCGGCGCCTGTAGTCCCAGCTACTCGGGAGGCTGAGGCAGGAGAGGAGAATGGCGTGAACCCGAGAGGAAGAGCTTGCAGTGAGCTGAGATCCGGCCACTGCACTCCAGCCTGGGTGACACAGCAAGACTCCGTCTCAAAAAAAAAAAAAAAGAAGAAGACCTTGGTATAAAGGGAGGACTCAGGCCTCGACACTATTTGCTGAAAACTTTTTTCACAATTCCAACCACCCCTATATGGTGAGTGCCCTGAGGGCGGGACTTTAGACACTGTGTGTGTCCCCAGAGTCTAGACACTCAGGGGAGGTTCCTGGGGAAGGTTTGGGAATATGAGAATGGGTGACCTTGAAATTAGGACTTGGGGCTGGGCTCAGTGGCTCACGCCTGTAATCCCAGCACTTTGCGAGGCCGAGGCGGGTGGATCACCTGAGGTTGGGAGTTTGAGACCAGCCGGTCAACATGGTGTCTGTCTCTATTAAAAATACAAAAATTAGCTAGGCGTCGTGGCGTGCTCTTGTAGTCCCAGCTACTCAGGAGACTGAGGTAGGAGAATCGCTTGTGCCTGGGAGGTGGAGGTTGCAGTGAGCCGAGATCATGCCACTTCACTCCAGCCTGGGCAACAAGAGTGAAACTCCGCCTCAAAGGAAAAAAAAAAATTGGGACCTGTACACACCTGAGTTCAAACTGGGGTTGTGCAGGAGGGCTGACCCTGGCTGAAGTCAGCTTCCACGTCTGTGAAATGGGCTCATGAGACACACTTCACCGGGTTAGAGAGAAGCAGAAATAACACTAACCCTGCAAATGCTTCACAGGCAGCTGAGACAGGGGCTTCCACCCGCCTGCAGGTTCCAGGTTCCCACTGGGGCCTCCTGTCTGGAATTCTCTAGCCCGTGCAGTTCCCTGCCTTACCCTCTGCAGCCCACCTGGCTGGTAGCTCCCTGAGGCAAAGAGCCAGGCTAGCTTTTGCTACCACATGTCAACACTGGGTTTTGTTTTTTGTTTTTTTGTTTTTTTTTGAGACAGGGCCTCACTCTGTTGCAGTCTCAACTCACTGCAGCCACCACCTCCGGGGTTCAAGTGATTCTCGTGCCTCAGCCTCCTGAGTAGCTGGGAATGCAGGCACCTGCCACCATGCCTGGCTAATTTTTGTATTTTTAGTGGAGATGGGGTTTTGCCATGTTGGCCAGGCTGGTCTTTTTTTTGAGAGAGTTTCACTCTGTTGCCCAGGCTGGAGTACAGTGGTGCAATCTTGGCTCACTGCAACGTCCACCTCTTGGGTTCAAGTGATTCTCGTGCCTCAGCCTCCAGAGAGGCTGGGATTACAAGTGTGCACCACCATGCTTGGCTAATTTTTGTATTTTTAGTGAAGAGAGGGTTTCACCCTGTTGGCCAGGCTGGTCTCGAACTCCTGACCTCAAGTGATCCACCTGCTTTGGCCTCCCAAAGTGCTGGGATTACAGGTGTGACCTACCATGCCTAGCCCAACCATGCACTTTTTTTTCTTTTTGAGAGAGTCTCACTATTGTTGCCTCATCATTTTGCCTGTCTGGCCTCAGTTTCCTCTCCTGTAAAGTGGCAACAGCAGAAATTGTCTCTTAAGGTTGTTGTAGAGATGAAAAGGGATGGAAAAATCCATTCATTTGTGCAACACATATCTACTGAGGGTCCGCTTTCGGGGTACAGAGGAGCAAAAATGCACACAGGCCCGTGTCCATGGGCCCTGCCCTCTTGGGGCTGATAGAGCAGAGGACGGTTGACTAGAAGAGATTCTTCCCAGCCGGGTGTGGTGGCTCGGGCCTGTCATCCCAGCACTTTGGGAGGCTGAGGCGGGTGGATCACCTGAGGTCAGGAGTTCAAGAGCAGCCTAGCCAACATTGTGAAACCCCATCTCTACTAAAAATACAAAAAACATTAGCCAGGTATGGTGGCGGGCACCTGTCATCCCAGCAACTCCGGAGGCTGAGGCAGGAGAATGACTTGAACCCAGGAGGCGGAGGTTACGGTGAGCCGAGATCGCACCATTGCACTCCAGCCCGGGCAACAAGAGGGAACTCCATCTCAAAAAAAAAAAAAAAAAATGGAGAAGAAGAGATCCTTCCCAGGGTGCCCTGAGAGCAGAGGTATGGGCGGCAGCCACTGCCAATTCCACGGCCACCCCATCCTCGTTGACGGTGCAGGTTGAATCCCAGGAGCTGCTAGGGCTGCTGTTGTTTTGAAAATATCTGCTATCACTCTGATAAGCTCAGCTGACAGGAGGGATGTTATTTCTGGGCGAAAGGAGATTCCGCAGGACTGGAGGTCCTTCCTGCTTACACCACATGGGCCTAGTCCCTCCCGTCAGACCTGGCTTGAGTGATAACCTGGGGCCTTGAGCCTGCTCCTGGCAGGGACAGCAGTGGCCATCACTGCAGGACGTCCCCGGCCTGCTGCCCAAGGCCTCCGCGATGCTGCAGGAGCCGAGGTCACCTCTTTTCTGACCCTGGATTCCTGGAATTGTCTTACAGAACGGAGGCCTGTTCTCCATCCCCCTGACAGGCCACAATAGATTATGTTTGTCACACTAGCCATCTGAGTGTCTGGCCCAAACGCGTGTCTGTTATATGGCTGTGGCACTGAGCTGAGAGGCCTGGCAGGTTAAGCCTCCATAATTTGCTCTGAAATGCACTGGTCCTGTTTTCATTTACATTATTCTTGTCGCCAGCAAAGCTGGCCTCTCAGGTCTCACCATGGCCTTGGCCTACCAAGCACCCTGGCAGCTGTGAATCCAGATCTCAATTAAAATCCTTGATCTTGACTATTTCAAGTTTGATCCACTGTGTTTGCTTGGATTTTATTTTTTAGTATTGAGTTTTAATTGATATACCCAAAAGTGCTCAGATCCTAAGCATTCAGTTCAATGTATGTTTGCATACATATGTACCCCTGCAACCACCATCTGTGATACCCTAGAAGCTTCCATCATGCCCCTTCCAGCCAATACCCATCCCCACCCTGGAGAAAGCGTCACCAATCTCACATCTAACGCCATAGATTGGTTGTGCCTAATTATGAGCATCATAGAAATGGAATTACAGCATGCTTTATCTTGTGTCCAGCTTCTTTTAAGTCTGGCCCCAGCTGCAGCGGCTCATGCCTATAATCCCAGCACTTTGGGAGGCTGAGGTGGTCGGATCATTTGAAGTCAGGAGTTCGAGACCAGCCTGACCAACATGGTGAAACCCCGTCTCTACCAAAAACACAAAAAAATTAGCTGGGCGTGGTGGCGCACACCTGTAATCCAAGCTACTCGGGAGGCTGAGGCATGGGAATCACTTGAACCCAGGAGGTGGAGGTTGCAGTGAGCTGAGATGGCAGCACTGAATTCCAGCCTGGGTGACAGAGGTCAGGTGAGCGGATCATGAGGTCAAGAGATTGAGACCATCCTGGCTAACATGGTGAAACCCTGTCTCTACTAAAAGTACAAAAAATTAGCTGGGCATAGTGGTGGATGTCTGTAGTCCCAGCTACTCGGGAGGCTGAGGCAGGAGAATGGCATGAACCCGTGAGGCAGAGCTTGCTGTGAGCGGAGATGGCGCCACTGCACTCCAGCCTGGGCGACAGAGCAAGACTCCGTTTTAAAAAAATATACAAAAATTAGCCAGGCATAGTGGCAGGTGCCTGTCTCAAAAAAAAAAAAAAAAAGAAAAAACCAAAACCAAAACCCAAAACAAACAACTATGCAAAAATAATGTTCAAAAGAAAGAAAAGACCACTGAATCATATCCACCTATTAACCACTCTTTTATTATTATTATTATTATTATTTTAAATTAATTCGAGATGGGAGTCTTGCCATTACCCAGGCTGGCCCCAAACTACTGGGCTCAAGTGATCCTCCCACCTTGGCTTCCCAAAGTGCAGGGATTACAGGTGTGAGCCACTGCGCCTGGCCAAGATTTGTTTTTTTCATGTGTTTATTCTGCCAATTTTTATTGAACATCTACTCTCTGCCAGGCACTGTCCCAGAGGCCAGCGATAGAGCAATGAACAGTAGGTCTGTGTCCTTGTGGGGAAGCACAGTACACTCCCAGGGAGGAGGCCCAAGGCCACTTCCCCTCTGTCTGTCCTCAGCCACCATGAGTCTTTGACACATTCCCCATTGGATGACAAGGGTCAGTTCATCAACGTTTTCGATTACATTTCTGTAATTACTCCTCAAGGTGAAGGTTATTTGATTCATTTTCCCAGCCATTCGTACTTTATTACTTTCTTTAACTGCCTACTATATGTCGGGCATTGTCCTAGGCTCTGGGCATGTAACAGCAAAAAGAAAAAAGTGGACAAAGATCCCTGCACTTGTGGAGCTGACATGCCAGCTGGGAGAGACAGAAGGTAAGCAAAATAAATAGGAGCACCGTGGAGTGTGTGGGCAGGTGATACATGCAGGGAGCCAGGGATTGCAGTGTTACATGGGGATTTAAATGTTGTTATTATTATTATTATTATTCTGGAGACAGAGTCTTGCTCAGTGGCACCATCTCAGATCACTGCAACCTCCGCCTCCCAGGTTCAAGAGATTCTCCTGCCTCAGCCTCCTGAGTAGCTGGGATTACAGGCGCCTGCCACCACGCCCAGTTAATTTTTGCATTTTCAGTAGAAACGGGGGTTCGCCATGTTGTCCAGACTGGTCTTGAAGTCCTGACCTCAGGTGATCCACCTGCCTTGGCCTCCCAAAGTGCTGGGAGCCATTGCACTCGGCCAATGATAAACATTTATTATCTCTCACAGTGTCTGTGGGTCAAGAACTCAGGAAAGGAGCTCGGTGCAGTGGTTCAAACCTGTAATCCCAGCACTTTGGGAGGCCAAGGTGGGTGGATCACTTGAGGTCAGGAGTTCAAGACCAGCCTGACCAACATGGTGAAACCCCATCTCTACTAAAAAAAGTACAAAAATTGGCCAGGCGCAGCGGCTCATGCCTATAATCCCAGCACTTTGGGAGGCTGAGGTGGGCAGATCACAAGGTCAAGAGATCAAGACCATCCTGGCTAACATGGTGAAATCCTGTCTTTACTAAAAGTACAACAAATTAGCCAGGCGTGGTGGTGGGTGTCTGTAGTCCCAGCTACTCGGGAGACTGAGGCAGGAGAATGGCGTGAACCTGTAAGGCAGAGTTTGCCATGAGCTGAGATGGCGCCACTGCACTCTAGCCTGGGTGACAGAGCAAGACTCCGTTTTAAAAAAAATACAAAAATTAGCGGGGCATGCTGGCAGATGCCTGTAATACCACCTACTCGGGAGGCTGAGGCAGGAGAATCACTTGAACCTGGGAGGCAGAGGTTGCAGTGAGCTGAGATCATGCCATTGCACTCCAGCCCGGGCAACAAGAGCAAAACTCCATCTGAAAAAAAAAAAAAAAAAAAAGGAATTTAGGAACAGTTTAGCTACGTGGTCTCTCGGGAGGCTGCAGCCGACACTGGCTGGGGCTGCCACCATTTGAAGGCTCGGGTGGGGATGGAGGATTCAGCTCTAGGTGGCTCACTCACATGCTGTGAGATGTGGGCAGGAGGCCTCTGTTCCCTGCTCCTCCCACACAGGCCTCTCCACCAACCTTCTTCCGTGCCCTCAGGACTTGGCGGCTGGCCTCCCCAGAGTGGATGACCCAAGAAAACAAGGGCCAGGTGGGAGCTGTTCTTTTCTGATCGGGGCCCAGAAGTCCCATAGCATCATTTTGTTATACTCATTAGTGGCAGGTCCCAGGCCTGGTCCGTATTCAAGGTGAGGGGCATGAGAGACAGTCAGGTACAACCCTGAGGTCTCTGGCCTGAGCCTCTTGAAGGACAGAGCTGCCACCAGCTGAGATGGGAAGTTAGAGGAGAGGTGAGTTTGGGGGAGACTGGGAGTTCAGTGCGATGCCGAATAGCATCTTGCAGGGAGATATCGAGGAGCTTCTTTGAAGACAACTGCTTTCCCGGTGGACCTGACCATCTGCGTTTAGACAGCTTTGTCCCAGTGCTCAGTGGACCGTGGTCTTGGCCAGGAGCTCTCAGCCCTGCAGCGGGTGCCCATGCTAACTCTCCACTCTCAGGTCCTGGTTTGGCAGAGCTGGCGGGAGGCTGGGAAGGGCCTAGGGCTTCTGTTACCCAGGTGGTTGGCAGCTGGGAGGCTGCAGGCCCTGCTCATTGCCGCTGTTTTTTCTTTTTTAAATTATTATTCATTTATTTTGAGATGGAGTCTCTCTCTGTAGCCCAGGATGCAGTGCAGCGGCACGACCTTGGCTCACTGTAACCTCTGCCTCCCAAGTTCAAGCAATTTTCCTGTCTCAGCCTCTCAAGTAGCTGGGATTACAGGTGCCTGCCACCATGCCTGGCTAATCTTATATATATATAAATTTTTTTTTTCATTATTATACTTTATGTTCTAGGGTACATGTGCACAACGTGCAGGTTTGTTACATATGTATACATGTGCCATGTTGGTGTGCTGCACCCACTAACTCATCATTTACCTTGGATATATCTTCTAATGCTATCCCTTCCCCCTTCCCCCACCCAACGACAGGCCCCACCCTGTGTCTAAATGTTCTCATTGTTCAATTCCCACCTATGAGTGAGAACATGTAGTGTTTGGTTTTCTATTCTTGTGATAATTTGCTGAGAATGATGGTTTCCAGCTGCATCCATGTCCCTACAAAGGACATGAACTCATCCTTTTTTATGGCTGCATAGTACTCCATGGTGTATATGAGCCACATTTTCTTAATCCAGTCTGTCATTGATCGACATTTGGGTTGGTTCCAAGTCTTTGCTATTGTGAATAGTGGCCTGGCTAATTTTTGAATTTTTTTTTTCCTTGAGATAGAGTTTCACTCTTGTTGCCCAGGCTGGAGTGCAATGGTGCAATCTCGGCTCATGGCAACCTCTGCCTCCCGGGTTCAAGTGATTCTCCTGCTTCAGCCTCCCTAGTAGCTGGGATTACAGGCATGCGCCACCACGCCCAGCTACTTTTGTATTTTTAGTAGAGACAAGGTTTCTCCATGTTGGTCAGGCATGTTGGTCATGTCTCGAACTCCTGATCTCCATGTTGGTCAGGTCTCGAACTCCTGACCTCAGATGATCCTCCTGCCTCAGCCTCCCAAAGCTCTGGGATTACAGGTGCGAGCCACCGCGCCTGGCCGAGTTTTTAAATTTCTAATAGAGACGGGGTTTCGTCATGTTGGCCAGGCTGGTCTTGAACACCTGACCTCAGGTGATCCACCTGCCTTGGCCTCCCAAAGTGCTGGGGTTATAGGCATGAGCCACCACCTCCAGCTATCTCTTCCTCCTATTGATCAGCATATTATCTTGGGATTTTGCAAAGTAAATAAGTACTGTATTTTCACCCACTCCACCCTTGAATCATCCAAAGTGTCCCCAAACGGTCCTTCTTTCTCCATCTGTTCCGCTAATGTTTACTGAACATCTCCTACATGCCTGGCACTGTGCCTCCAGTCTCAAGCATCTCACTCATATCAGGTCTTCTGGACCCATGAGACCCCGTGTCATTGCTTCACCACCCTGAGTCCCAATTTCTTCATCTGCAAAATGCATTCAGAGGGAAGCCCCCATTATGAAGGGTTCCCCACTTCTGACTGTAGCCACAGTCAGGGCAAGCTGCTTTGTAGGGGTTGGAGTTCATGTAGTTGGGAGGCCCTAGGAGAAAAGACTGTTACAGGGCTGGGCGTGGTGGCTCACACCTGTAATCCCAGCACTTTGGGAGGCCGAGGCCGGTGGATCACCCGAGGTCAGGAGTTCCAGACCAGCATGGCCAACATGGCGAAACCCTTTCTCTACTAAAAATACAAAAATTAGCCGGGCATGGTGGCTCATGCCTGTAATCCCAGCTGCTAGGGGGTGTTAAGGCAGGAGGATTGCTTGAACCTGGGAGACGGAGGTTGCAGTGAGCCGAGATTGTGCTACTGCACTCCAGCCTGGGCAACAGGGTGATATTCCATCTCAAAAAACAAACCAACCAACAACAACAACAACAATAACAAAAAACTACAAAAGCAAAGAAGGTCCAAGGCCCAGAAGGAGGGAGGGGCTCTGAAGACTTTATCACGCTTTACCTCCTCTGGTCCTCCCAACAGCCCAGCTCTTGGTAGGTGCTGTTGTCCATTTCACAGATGAGAACACTGAGGGGGAAGTAATTACCCTACAGGTGGGAAGAACAGAGTGAGGGTACCCAACAGGTAGCAAACGACAGAGCTGGGGGAGGGGAACCCCTGCCCCTCCCCTAATCTCTGAGGGGATCAAGACAGAGGTAAACAAGCTTTGCTGTGCGCAGGACAATTGTTACTTTGTTATTCCAGGAGCGCTCTGCCTTCTCCCACCCCCAATATACCCCAGGGCCGCTGTTAGGCACTACTCATCCCAGCGGGGCAGGCTGCCACCAGCCCACCCCGCCTGGAACCTTCCTGATTTCTCTGCCCCTCGCGGGGGCTTTGGGGTCCTTCTAACCAGGTCTGCACGTGGGCCCCCTGCCCCCAATCCCTCCCGTTCCGGCCTGCATCTCGCGGACCCGGAGCCCCGACGGGAGGGGGAAGGCCGTGGGTGTGTGCTGCAGCTGGAAGGCTGCGGAGGGGTGGCACTGGAGGGGCAGTGCCCCTGGCTTCGGGTATGGAGCACTGGATGCTGCTGCTACCCAAGTGTGAACCTCGGTTTTCATATTCGTGAAATAGGCTTAAAAACACCTAAGTCCCAAAGCTGCCAGCCTAAGGAGCACGTTTTTGAACGCTGGCTTCACGCTGTCATTTAGCAAGTCATTTCGTCCTCTTGGAGCCTCGATGGGTACAATGATCGTGGAAAAAAGCACCGAGGAGTACTTTGAGCTCGAAGGGGAGGCCATCCGTGTAAAGGGCTTGGATTATACACCCAGATTCTGTCAATGGATCGATCTCCCCAGTATTTATGGAAACCCCTGACTGCACGCCCGTGCTGGGCGCAGGGGAAACAGCGACGCACGGAACAAAACAAGCTTGCAGAACCGCAGGGGGCAGAGAGGCTGTAAACAAGCCAACGGGCTGCACTTGTAGCGGTTCTGTTGCCAATGCCATTCAGACCCCAGTCCGGGATTCCGCGCTCGGGGTGCGAGAGGCCGCTCCCGGGGCGGGGCGGGACCCGGGCGGGGCGGGAGGGGCGGGGCGCCCGGACCTATTAGGTCCCGCGCCGGCAGCCGGGCAGTAGACACGAAGCTTCTCCGGTGGCTCACAGACGCTGCCAGCATCGCCGCCGCCAGGTGAGTGCCCCTGACCCTGCTGCCGCCCGCCGCTCCACCCAGCTCGAGCCCGGTGGTTAGCGCCCAGGCCGCGGCCCGGGTGCCGAGCGGCTGGAAGTGTGGGGACCCGTGCCCAGGTT